ATTTTCAGGCTCTTTAGTGCATATTCAGGAATCTTCATGATTTCACCCTTGTCTAGATCTCTAGTATCAACTCCAGCCACTCCCTGCCTCCTATTTCCGTCATATTAAACTCTATGCTGCTCCCTCACGTCTGGTATATCTCTGTGTCTCTGCTCATGCAGTGTTCTCTCCTTAGAACTCTGTTCCTCTCTTCATCCACCTAACAGCAGTTATTATTCAAGACAGCTCAAGCATTATTTCCTTTGGGAAGCCTTCTTATGTACTCCTTGTCTTTTCCTAGCAGAATTAGGTATGTCTACTCTGCACTCCTATAATATTCTAAGTATTTATAATTCATCACACTATATTTTAGCTATGGATTTCTTGAATAAGTCACCCATCAGAGTGGGGCTGTGTATTACTGATTCCTTCATTTAACCAATATTTATTTAAAAAAAATTTTTAATGCTTATTTATTTTTGAGAGAGAGAGACTGAGCGTGAGCAGGGGAAGGGCAGAGAGAGGGGGAGACACAAAATCTGAGGTAGGCCCCAGGCTCTGTGCTGTGGGCGCAGAGCTAACCAATATTTATTGAGCATGACTCCCCTTTCCCTTGTCTAGTGGCACCCCCCAACTTTCACCTACTCCCCACCCAAGCAATGTTTAGCTGGAGGCCAGGGATAAAATAGTGAACAAAGCAGATGAAAATTCCTATCCTTGTGGAGTTAATATCGTAAAAGTGGACCCTATCTTATTAACTCCTGTAGTTCCAGTACCTGTTCCTTTTTTTTTTTTCCTTTAGTGTTTTATTTATCTCTGAGAGAGAGAGAAAGAGAGGCAGCTTGAGCAGGGGAGGGTCAGAGAGAGAGGGAGACAAAGAACGTGAAGCAGGCTCCAGGCTCTGAGCTAGAGGTCAGCACAGAGTCTGATGCGAGACCTGAACCCACGAACTGTGAGATCATGACCTGAGCCGAAATCGGACACTCAACCGACTGAGCCACCCAGGCACCCTCCAGTACCTGTTCCTTGATGAACTAATGTGAGGTTAGAAAAGGAGATGGGCATACTAGCCAATCTTTTCCATAGTCCATCCCTATCAGGCTCTCCAATGAAATCCTTTCCTTTCATCTATGTTCCCTTTTAAATTTCTCCCATGTGTTAGTTAAAGCACTTCCATGTAATCTAAAATGGGTCATACTTCATACTGGACCTAGACCAAATTTCTAAGCAAAGTTCTATTTTTATACTATACCTTCTCCCTTCTTCCTACTCTCATCTGTTTCCTTGTCACACTCTATTCCCCATCTCCCTTGAGACCAAGTACCCTGTGGCTATCCAGAAGCACACTCAGACATCTTAGTACTTTGTTTTCCCAAAGTACCTCAGGTTCTAATTTATTCCTCCCTGATTTTTCCCCAATGCCTCTGAAGCTAGAGCTAGCTGGTCAGTATTATCTTCTGTATTGGAAAGCATTTTTCTCATTTCCCACCCACTGACCTCCTAAGTGCTCTGTTTACCTCTACCATAGTACTTATCCCCCTAGAACCCTGATTTAATTCTTTTCCTCTCTAGCATTTTCCAGAGTCTGGAATTGTTCAAAGTATTAACAAATGAATAAATGAATATATATGCATTTATTTATACAATTAACCCTTGAACAACGCTGAGGTTAGGGACACAGACCAAGCAGTCAAAAACCTGAGTATAATTTTTGATTCCCCCACAACTTACTGTGAATAGTTTCGTGGTGACAGGAAGCCTTACCAATAACATAAACAGTCAACACATATTTTGTTTATTATATGTATTATATACTATACTCTTATACAATAAAGTAAGCTAGAAAAAAAGAAAATGCTGTTAAGAAAATCACAAGGAAAAAAAATGCATTTTTACTACTGTACTGTATGGAAAAATCCCTTCCTGGGGAGCCTGGCTAGTTCAATCAACAAAGCGAGCCATTCTTGGTCTCAGGGTTGTGAGTTCGAGCCCCCCACACTGGGTGTAGAGATTGCTTAAAAATAAAATCTTATTTTGATGAGCATGGCACTCTTGATTTCCATGGGGGTCATGATCCCAGAGTTCTGGGATCCTGATATGGCTGGGCTCATATTCTCTCTCTCTCTCTCTCTCTTCCCCCCCTCATGTGCTCTCTCTCTAATAATAAACAAATACATGAATACATAACCAACCGCTCATGTGCTCCTGCTCTCTCTAATAAAAAAATACATATATAAAACGTTAGAAAGAGAATTTAAAATATAAAAGCGAGTTTCCATGTCCCAGGTCTGTATGTGTACCTTTAGTATGTGACTTTTGCATTGTCTGTAAATTCAGTTTCAGCTGAGTGAATAAAGTACATGTTAGAATGGCGTTTCAACACCCGATAAGTGGATCCTTCCCCCAGGACGTGACTGAGCCCACGGCATGGCCTTCTTGGGATTCTGTCAAGGGGAAGAGCGGGCTGGAACTGGGAAGCCAACGTAACTCCTCAGATTTAAGTACCCTGTTGAGTCTGTGTTTGGGAGTAGGGAGAGGAGGGGACTGCTGCATGAATACAAAAAATCATAAACTTTCCGAAGGGCAGAGTTGTAAGAGGTCTTCCAGGTCGCCTGGACACTCTGGGCCACGCATTAGAAGGAAGTGGACCCGACACCACCCGCCGAGAACCTTCCCTTGGGACTGACTCCTCGGCCGAACTCCCCTTCCCCCCACAACACTGCACCTCTACGCAGAGTGCACGCCGGCGCGCTAGCGACAGCTCCTAGAACCAGCCCTCTCAGCCTCTCTTCTCCCAGCCAAACTCCAGAGATGTCAAAGATTCTTAAGCAGGGGTTTTCCAATCTGCCCCCTGAGGGACCGCCCCTGAGGCGAGGCGGGCCGGCCTAGGCTGCGATGTAGAGAATTCGATGTCCGAGCGACCTCCTCGGAGGAGTGGACCGAGTTAAATATAACCGCGCGAATGGAATGGCGCTAAAAATAAGGCAACAGCTGGCCGGTCCACAGCCCTGTCCCGGGAAGGGCGGGGGCCTGAGTGGTCCTGCGCCCGAAGACCGCTCGCGATCCAGGGACCGGGCGGCAGTGGCGTCCGCCGGCCTGGGCCGGAAGGCCAACGACGTGGGCGCGAGCTGCTCGGGGCCTGAGAGGCCTCAACCTGCGAGCGTCCCGCGGACTGGATTCGGGGCCGCTCGGTGGCCTGAAGGAAAACTTTGCTAATGAATCAGAGACCCGGGCGAACTTGCCTGGACGTGACAAGGTAGAAAGGCTGGCGCTGAGCTCACGCCCGCCCCGCCGCCAGAGGGAGCTGAGTACATGAGGAGGAAGCCGGACGGACCCTCGAGGATGCCGGGGCATCGCCCGAGATGGAGGCGCAGGGGCACCTGTGGTGGGCGGCCCCGCGCGCGCACACGCTCGAGACTCCCGCCGCAAGCGGCGCTCGGCCTTTGCGCACCGCACTTTCCCACAAGCCCTTTCCGGCGCGCGCCCCTCGGCCCTGCGCCCACGCCCGCGTCAGCGCCCCAACCATCAAGGCAACAATTGAAACGTTTCCAAAACGGGCTATTTATTTGCTCCCAATAAATCGATCGGCAGTGATTAAAAAATCGATGTGGCCTGGGTGGGCGAGTCGTTCGCCGGGAGGGAAAGGTGGTACTGGCCTGCGCCTGAGGGGAGGCCGCAGGCGGGCGCGGGCCTGGGAGAGGCGTGTCCCGCCCGAGCCACACCCGAGGGCTGGTCACCTGGGCGCGCGGGCCCCTGGCCGGCCGCGTTCCCTCGGGCGGCGAGGGGCGCGCGCCCGCCGCCTGCTTTCCTCCGGCCCTGTTGCCTTTCAGTCTAGCGCTCCGGGCAGGCGGTGACCGCCAGCGGCCGCAGCGCCGCTTCGAGGCTTTTGTTGCTTCTCGGCGGGTTGAATAGGGTTTTGTAAAGCGGGACAGATAAAAATGAGCAGCATCATATTGTTTGACAGAATGATCCCATTTGATGAAGTGTCGGCTCCGAAGGGGGTGAAAATGGTGAATTCCTAAAAACCCAGCCCTCGGCTCCTCTGCGAGCTGCCGGTAGCCTGGAGGGACCCGGCGGACAGCCGGGCCCGGCCACGTCGCTCCAAACCGTGTCGGAAAGGCTCGAGCTTTCAATGCCAAGTCATTTTTAAGCCCCGATCCTGCCCAGGACCTTTCTCCTCGTGGATGAAAAGAACAATTTTCGAGAGAAAGGCTCGTTTTGATTAAATCTGACATGCTGCTGATAACTCCATGCTAATGTGAAATAATTAACATAATAGCCATAATTAAAAGCACGCTAACAATGCCATAAATTTATCACACAATTTTACTAGCTTTCTGCCCCTAACTGCTCTCTCATCGTTAATTAAACGTGTTGCCTTTTACAGAATGGATGTTTATACATTTCCAATATAAATAAATTCGAATCCATCCTCTTTCTCTCTCTCTCTTTCTCCTCCTTTCCCTTTGGTCTTTCTCCATTTATAGGCACTTCTTGGCATGGGCCCTGAGTGGCGGACACTTTGAAAATAAATGAAGTTTTGAGATGAAAATTCAAAGAATGTTAAATTAGTCTTGTTTTTTTTCCACCCCGAAGAGATCTGGAGACACACACAAGGTTGGTGGAAAGTGAATTGAAAATCCTACCCACTTGGAAATAATCTGGGTGGGTTGGGGACCTGGGTATCATCTCAGCCCGTCCCACCTTGCTCGGTGGTGGCCATCCAAGCAGAAGCTGATAATAGTTTAACATATCTATGAAGATTGTCAAGAAGAAGCCGACTTTGGTTCTTGGGGCTAGGGTGGGGGGCCGGAGTGGAGGGAAAGGAGGGGTATTTTCCAAATGGGCTCCACCCACGTTTCCTTCCTTCTGCTCTAAAGAGGGCGGCTGCTCTTGGTGGGGGACGCACCCCTCACTGCCTAGAAACTGGTCACATCTCCCCGGATTATAAGAAAAGTGCACCAGGCACCGGCAGGATGATTCCATCTCACTTCCGACCAACGACTTATTCAAACCGTTGGCATAGACTCTGACTTAGAGGAGGAGGAGAGGGCACTTGGGTTCCCTTGGGCCTAGCGACAGATAGGTGGGCTATTCCTGCCTTCCGCACACTCTTACCGTGCCTCTTTCAGTGTTGACCACTTAAGAACCCAAATTGAGTTGTAATTAACTTCCTCTTCTCCATCATAAATTGTTCCATCTCTTCCTCCCCCATCTCCATCTCACCCCTCAGAACACACTAAGTCTCCCCTCCCCCCGAGACGTCTCAATTTCCTTTTTATCGATCAGGACTTCACTTTTCTTGTTTCCTGTTGCTAGAACCTCGGTCCCCTCCACCGCCGCCACCACCTCGCCCTCGTCGGATCCCGTTCAGGTAGCCTCCCCAGCTGGGTACCACGGACTCTACTGGCCCCAGGAGAAACGGAGGGAACCTTATTCCCTTCTCCTTTGGCTGAAACGTTTCAAACATTTGAACAGGTGAGACAGCTGGGTGCCATCTTCTTTAAATTCCTCTCGGGAAGTTAGCTTGTTGCGACTCAAGGAGTTATTCTCACTCATAATAATTGTGTGTGTACTCGATCTTCTATCTTCCCCAGTAGCCCTCTGCGACCCAGAAAATATGTATCCACATTTCTCCTGTCCCACTCGCCAATGTTTGGGGTCTATCACATTTTTCTTCCCCCGACTAATGTGTCACTTTCTCCCTGTAGCTGTCTCGCTTCTCGAGGCTCTCTGTTCTGAAGTTTGGCAGTAAGTGACGATTTGTGGGCTCTCAGCAGCAAACTGCAATTACGCGGCAAACAGGATTTACTTAGCCCAGAATCTAGTCGGCGAAAGGCAGGTCCCTGCACAGCTACCGGCTCCAGCCCTTCCGCCCCGGCGACATCCCGCAGCGAGGACTGCGGGAACTTTCCGGCCTCCCACCTGGGCCGCCGCGGTGCCTCCTTCCGGCCCCGGGAGGTCGCGCTGGTGCCGCCGTCAGCCCGGAAAGGGGACACAGTGGCGGGTCCCCAGTCCCGAGTGATCGCGGGAAAATCCGCTGCCGCGGCTGGAAATCGATAGTAAGCGGTTGGGCCGGCACAGGCGGCGGACGTCGGGGCCGCCGCCAGTAGGGCCTGCGTGTCTCATCATTTAGCTAATCGACTCGAAAAGTTTCTGTAAGGGCCAGACCCGGCATCAGATGGTAACACTGATTGAACAAGAGATTAGCACAATAGATCTCTAACCGAGGGGAAGCGTTGCTTTTCACGCTACGTGCCGTAATTAATGGTATGAATCAATTAATTTGACTTTTATTGTGTCGAATGAAAAAAGCGCAACAAATGGAACTGGCGGCTGGGAGTTGTTCACCCCCCACCCCTTCCCCCAGGGAGGTTCCAATGAGACACCAGGGAACGGACGGATCAGGCCAGGTCTTGGCGGAGGGAGGGTGAGGCAGGGACCGAGGGAGTCCCGAGAGCCAGCCCTGGCGGACAGCAGAATCCAAATTAGGCTCATTTGGAGGCTACTTTAAGAAGACTGCCGAGGGCAGCCCCTGGAGCCGCTACCCTCCCCCCACCCCTCACGGCACGCGTCCACCGGAGCCCAGCCTCTTGCGCTGTAAAGGGGATTGGGGCCCGCGCTTGGCATTGGAGCTGGACAACTGAAACTAGGCAAAAGTAATTTCTGAATTTTAGATTTCGCATTCTTTTTTTTTTTCTTTTTGTCCTTCCGACCTTCCTTTTGTAATTATTGCGTTGCTCGGACAGTTGCAGCCGGGTAGAGTGGGCAGCCAGCTCGCGCCGCTCCCGTCGGTTTCACGGAAGGCTGTCTAGATGGCATTGTAAACGGCTCGCACCTGCAGGGCCACAGAGAGGTGCAGCTGCGGAAATCAACTCAGATGCATTTTAGGGTCAGGTACAACGGGGCATCCAGAGGGTCATTTAAATTAAAAAAAAAAAAAAACTTTAAGAGTTCCTTGGGTGGCTCAGGATGGAGTAACTGCCCTCCCCCCCCCCCACTCCCAATCCCCAGCACAAACCAGGAACGTCCTGCGAAATGGAGATCCCGTGGACTAATGTCATAGCCAGGAAATTATCTAATGGAGATGAAAGCCAATCTAGGTGTCTCACTGCCTATAATGAAGTAAATTTACGGATTTTTTTTTTCTAGGCCAAGGACTGAGAGCCAAGGTGAGAGACACAGACTGAGGGAATCAGAAGCACCGCTGTCCACCAGGAATTAAATCGGTTACCCAGCGTCTTCTGTAAATATTTCACCAACGATTTGCTCTCAGACCGCTCCCCTGTGCTCCTTGCTCTGGTGAGGCCGAAATACTCCTCCCAGGACTTAGCGGACAGACAGGGCTTGGGTTCAAGGACCCCGCCACACCTGGCCCGCGCTTGCAGCTCGCTGCGAGGCGGCCTAAAACTTCGGGAGGAGAGAGGTGGTGCCTCGCGGGCTCAGCGGGCCAGGAGCACTACTATTCCAGGTGCGAGATCCAAGCGCACGCAGTGACAATGACACGCACTCGTGGTGGGGTTGCCATCCTCCCACCCCCAACCCCAGTTAAATCCCCACAGCTTTCCTACCATCACTGATTTTCCTTGCCATGGAAACTGGTGTGCACTAGCCGCATCCTCGCCTCCTCCACCCGCTCTGCTCCTGGTTTCCGCGGAAGTTAAATCTTGAAGGATTTACCTGAGCCTTAAGAGAGAAGAATCCACGTGAGTTAGCAGCACCTGAGAGCCTAGCCCACCCGCATGCCCGAGGCCGCCCCCCCCCCCACTCCCGAGAGGCTCGGCCCCGCCGCCCCGGAAAGTCACACCGCCAGCTCCCGACGTGGCTCTGCGGTCCCAGCCCCAGCGCGGCGTCCAAACTGGAAGCCCGGAATCCTCTACTGCGCTCCGCTCGACTTACCCAGGCCGCTGCCAGTCCCGGCTCCGTCCCCAGCGCCTCATTTCCGACTTTTTCACATGCTAAGTCGTTTAACAACTCCCGGCTGCTAGTTACGGCCTCTTTATTTATAGGTTCGCTGTTTTTTGTTTTTTTTTTTTTTACGTCGTTTTTATTTCTCTCGGCAACTATTCTAATAGATTAATCAATAACTATTTTCTGACCTTGGGGAACCCCAGCTGATGCTGTTGTGGCCGCGCGGGGTAAAAAAAAAAAAAATTATATATACGTATAAAAACACGCTCACATCGAGCGGGGAAAGCGAAGGCAGGACCCGGGTGGTTTGGCTTTGCGGGGAAAGGGAACGCGTCACCTCCGTGGTTGCCTCGGCCGAAAGAGCACCGAGGCCGGAGGGGATCCGAAGTCTAATGATCAACACGAAGCTGGATGCGAAGCCCTTACTCAAGAGCTAAAAAGAATCAACCCCCAAAACCACAACAGAGAATACTAAGTTTTTCTTTAAAAAAAAAAAAAAATTGGGATGGGAATCTCGTTCGGCGTTGCCCAGCCCCAGCCTAAGGAGTGTTGGCACAGTGGGGAAGGGAGAGAGGGCAGGGAGGGCAGGGCAGGGCAGGGCGAGCCGCAGGGTCCCGCGGACGCTCCCACGCTCGCACCCACCCTCCAGCACCCACCCCCACAGGCTCCCTCGACCCCCGCGCAAGGCTCCTGGCAAGCCTGGGGGCCTGGGGTGGGCCAGGACGCCCCCGGAGCCCTCGGGATGCTGGCGCACCGTGCGGCACCGAGTTGCGCGTCCCTCGTCCCTTTGTTGACAATTCCCTGAACCAACTTGAGTTTGGCCGGCTCCGCCGTGGCCCTGACGTCACGCGCGGTCACGTGGCCCCGCCTCCCGCTGGATCTTTAAGTAGAAAGTAATCTATCAGGCCAGTCCTTAAAACGGGACTTTCGACTACGGGGGCTCGGCGTCCCCGACACCCCCCTCCCCCCGTGGCCCCTGCCCGCGCCCTCCCGAGCTGTTGGGCGCCCGGCGTCCCGCGCCCGCCGGCACCGCTCTGGGTCTCCACGCCCGGGCCGGAGGCCGAGGAAGGCGGGCGACGCGAGGGGCGCGGCGTGGAGAAGCCGCCGTGGCCAGGAGCGGCATCGAGCGCCTAGTGCCGAGAGCCAGGGGCCGCAGGAGTTGGAGGAGCACGGCCGCGGGGGGCGGACGGCAGCGCCCGCGCCGCGCGATGCCGGGCTGCCGAGTGTGAGCCCAGCCGGGAGGGCCCCGAACCACCTACGTCCCCCTCCCCTCTCCCACCTTTCCGGAGCACCCAAAACCCCCTTCCCCTGAGCTCGGCGGCAGCCCCTGGCGACTCCCATCGTCCGCCGCTCGTTCCCCGCCGCCGCCACCAACCCCGAGGAGGGATGACCCTCTCCGGCGGCGGCAGCGCCAGCGACATGTCCGGCCAGACGGTGCTGACGGCCGAGGACGTGGACATCGATGTGGTGGGCGAGGGCGACGACGGGCTCGAGGAGAAGGACAGCGACGCGGGCTGCGACAGCCCGGTGGGGCCGCCGGAGCTGCGCCTGGACGAGGCGGACGAGGTGACGCCAGCGGTACCCCACCACGGGCAGCCTCAGCCTCCGCACCAGCAGCCCCTGGCACTGCCCAAAGAGGCGGCCGGAGCCGGGGCTGGGCCAGGGGGCGAGGCAGGCGCTTCCGAAGCTGACGGCTGCAAGGGTGGCGCTGGCAGCGAGGAGGGCGGCGGGAGCGGCGGCGGGCCCGGCTCGGGCAGCGGGGCGGCGGCAGGCCTGGCCCCCAGCAAGCCCAAGAACAGCCTGGTGAAGCCGCCCTACTCGTACATCGCGCTCATCACCATGGCCATCCTGCAGAGTCCGCAGAAGAAGCTGACCCTGAGCGGCATCTGCGAGTTCATCAGCAACCGCTTCCCCTACTACCGGGAGAAGTTCCCCGCCTGGCAGAACAGCATCCGCCACAACCTCTCGCTCAACGACTGCTTTGTCAAGATCCCCCGCGAGCCTGGCAACCCGGGCAAGGGCAACTACTGGACCCTGGACCCGCAGTCCGAGGACATGTTCGACAACGGCAGCTTCCTGCGGCGCCGGAAACGCTTCAAGCGCCACCAGCAGGAGCACCTGCGCGAGCAGACGGCGCTCATGATGCAGAGCTTCGGCGCTTACAGCCTGGCGGCGGCAGCCGGAGCCGCGGGGCCCTACGGCCGCCCCTACGGCCTGCACCCCGCGGCTGCGGCCGGCGCCTACTCTCACCCGGCGGCCGCGGCAGCCGCCGCAGCGGCCGCGGCGCTCCAGTACCCATACGCGTTGCCGCCGGTGGCACCCGTGCTGCCGCCTGCCGTGCCGCTGCTGCCCTCGGGCGAGCTGGGCCGCAAAGCGGCCGCCTTCGGCTCGCAGCTCGGCCCGGGCCTGCAGCTGCAGCTCAACAGCCTGGGCGCCGCGGCGGCCGCAGCGGGCACGGCGGGCGCTGCGGGCACCACGGCGTCACTGATCAAGTCCGAGCCGAGCGCGCGGCCGTCGTTCAGCATCGAAAACATCATCGGCGGGGGCCCGGCGGCGCCCGGGGGCTCGGCGGCGGGCGCTGGGGGCGCCGGGGTAACTGGGGGCACTGGGGGCGGTGGGGGCGGCAGCGCGGCACAGTCCTTCCTGCGGCCGCCCGGGACTGTGCAGTCCGCGGCACTCATGGCCACGCACCAGCCGCTGTCGCTGAGCCGGACGACGGCCACCATCGCGCCCATCCTGAGCGTGCCGCTCTCTGGACAGTTCCTGCAGCCAGCAGCCTCGGCCGCCGCTGCTGCCGCCGCTGCAGCGCAAGCCAAATGGCCAGCTCAATAGGGACGTGCCGGCGGCCGGGACCGAGGGCCGGGCGGCTGCCCGGGGCGGTGGCTGCACTTCTAGTCGGCGCGCCCCGCCCCGGGCCCGGCCCCCCTGCCCAATCCCGGACTCTGCCTCTCCTCCATTTCCTCCCCCCCGACCCCTCCACACCGACCTTCTGCGGCCTCCACCCCCTTGCGCACACCTAGGCTGGCGGAGCAAACTCTCGCCGCACGCCCGCCGGGAATAGCTTTCTGTACAGGTAAAACCGAAAAACCGAATTTTCCAAAAATGTACCCCGACGGCTCTTGCTCTCAGTACCGTGGGGATGGGAGGGAAATTCTTTGTACATATTTGTATAAAAATTATTGACTTTCCTTTTGGGGTTCTTATTTTTTTAAGAAAAAAACCACAAATTCAGTAGATTTAGAGCTCTGAACTTTCATTTTTTTTGAAGGTTCACTCTCCGCAGTTTTATGTGAGAAGAAAATGTATAGAGACGTTGGGAGATTTTAAATATAAAAAAATTTTCAAAAGGCAAAAAGTGTCATTCTATTATAAAAGTCTGTTTATATATGAATGAATATATATGGTATTCTAAATGTTATTCCATCGTGTTGTACACAACTTTGTAAATAAATTTTTAAAATGCTTACCCTAGTGTTTTATTTAGAGGTCTGAAGTAAATGACAATATTTTAAAATTGTATTTGCATTTTATCTTTCCCAGAAATTTGAGGAGTTTCAAGCGATAACCCTTTCAAACTTAGCTATGCAAAATTTGAGTGTAAGGAAAATTTAATTGGAGAAAGGAAAGAATATGCCTAATTTAAATCATATTAATTTTTTTTCTGTTAGTTTTTACATAAAATTGGAATTTGGGTGACGATCTTGTTCATACCAACCCATTAAGTCTGAATAACCAGATATTTCTGTAGATAAAATAAGCTGCCATTAAAAAAAAAAACACCCTAAGTCTAAACAGCACAATCTTTTTAATTTTTTTTTTAAAATACCAGACTTCTTTCCATGAGAGCCCTTGGTCATTTCAATTATTCTTTCAAAAGAATGTAAATCACAAACATCTCCTCATTTTAGCACTTAAATCTTAAATTTTTGAAATTATTTATTTTCATTCCCCTCGTGGAAATGGTAAATAAACTCAGTTGATTTTTTAAAAATATATGTCATGGCAGTTTAATTTTTGCAGTGGAATTGTACTATCTATATTAACCTGATCAATAATACATAGTTGTCTTATTCTTTCATAATATTTTCAAATAATATACGTCTTTTCTATGGCAGTAATAAATCCAGAACATAATTTTGATTTCTGAAGGATTCCTATGAATGCCTCCTCTCCCTCCAACCCGTAGTGTTCCGTGTTCCAAGGACCAAGGCATAGTAGCCTTAACACCCTTCTAAGAACAGGTGCACATCATCCCATTTTTAAAGTCTTTTTTTTTTTAATACACTTAGGCTAGGTTAGTGTGAAATGAGAGATCATAGGGCAGGAATGGGGATATGTCCTCCTAGATTATTTTTAATATGCATTTTAGATGTTGCAACCTTAAAAGTATTAAGGTAGAAAGAAAACATCTAGACACGGGAAGCCGTTTCCCATCACCACCAACATATCCTCAAACGGCATCAATTCTAATTATTTTGTAATTAATTTAGCTGTTACAATTACTTATGCAAAATCGCTTTTTAAAACTGAAACGGGGAGCAGTGCTGTCAGCTCGGCCCTCTGCGCGTCCTGCTTGCAAAACACAGCCAGTCCCTGTCAGCGGCGTCCACCTCGCCTCTTGGTGTGGAGATGCCTCCCGGCTTCAGATCCAGCTTTATTTCTCTGCTGTAGGCGTGGGCCACGGAGTCTCTTTGAAAGACGTGTCCTCGAAAATACCGAATCTGTTTTCCTGGTAAACAGTAAACATTATTGTGTCCTGAGTAAACATTCCTTCTGGATCAGGGTCCTAAAATAAAACAAGCTGCCGGGGGTGAGATAGTTTAGCTTGATAAACAAGAACCTGATAATCAACGGCGGCTGAAAGAAGCAACAGTAACCTTCACGGAGAAGAGATTATGGACCACACAGTCTCCGGGCGGGTACCCTCTAATCTCCTTTTACAAGGAAAACTAAACGGATCTAAATTTGTTTGTGTGTTGCAGCTATAAAAGTAACAAGTTGTTTCACAGTTGTGTCTGGCTAATCGGTTTTTACACAAACAGCAAATGGTACATGATTTGTGCAAACACATAGAGGTTATTTCTAATTTTAGCTG